GCGGTCTATCCGTATAACTCTGGTTTAGCACTTAAAATAATAAAATTTCGGCAATTTTGTTTTAAATACTTAAAAGTAGAGTCATGTATTCCAGTCTAGCGCATTTAAAGATAGTAAATCCCCATAGGAGCCTTTGAATTCAGTTTTTTGTCTCTCCTGCAAAATTTACGAAATCGGAGTTGGACGGTTAGAATTCTCCGCCGACGATATCTAAATAATATTTTTATTTTCTGTGTTGTGACCTCAGCATTTACACATGAAAAGAGGCCCTGATTTTTCCCTGGTTTGCATAAAGTGAAGTCCACAGAGTGTTTTCTTAGGCCATATACACATATTAATGCCATCTTCATTAAATGTTACAGCCTTGAGTATCGCATCAGTATGGTCATATCTGTGTGATCTTTTATTTTGTCATTTTGCTGACAGCAGAAATGATATGTTGATTACATGCTTTTTATTTTTAACAAATAATCGCAATGAAAAAATGGTACCACTCTTTGACTGTGTATAAAATCTATTTGAGTGTTTACACTTTTTATTTCATGTGAATAATACAAAGTAGTAAAAAAAATAGGTCATTTTATAAATAACATTTTTGTGCTTCGATTAGTGTTCACAGACCCAACCTTGAAAAATATAAATTGACTTTTTCCCCAAACATGTGGTGGATTTTTTTCTATTCTTTGTTTTTTTAAATGAAGTATACGTCTTTGTGTATAAAAAAAAACCCTCAATAACATTTGATCATTGTCACCCAAGAAAGATAGTAGGTTTAAGTTTAATTCAATATCTGAGAAATTGAGCCGTCGGCATGCTTTGCTCTTTCCTGTTGTTGCCAGGACGTTCAACATTAGTTTTTCAGTCAGTTGACATGAAATGTCCTGGCAACAATAGAAATGCATGGAGACTGTCGATTGCTTGATTTCTCTGATGTTGAGTTTAACCCACCATCGTGCTTTGATGACAATGATTAAATATTATGGTGGGTCTTTTTTAAATAACAAAGATTTAAACTTTTATTATGAAGAGCTGAAAAAAATCTGGCACATGGTCGGGTGAGGGGGGGGGGGGAGCCAATTTGTAGGAACACTAATTTAAACCCGAAAATGATATTTTCCTAACTTGACATACTTTTTAGAGTATTTTATATTACTCAAAAGGAAAGAAAAACATGAGGATTCGAAAGACTAGATTCTTTACACAATAAAAAAGTGGAACTTTTCTTTTGATCGCTAGTATATTTCCTGCACTTGCACATTCAGAATCACAGAAATTAACCATTTGACGGATTCTATGTCTTGATGTAGAAAACTCTGAAATGTAATATGAAAATCTTTTGCCTGTAATTGTTACTAGGCTTGGGGCCTCTCTGGAAATCCTTCGTGAAAAAGTTATTGAAGATGACATCGATAGCAGCATCACGCGCCGAGCGCTAGAAGTATTGGTGCGCAAAGTGCCGGATGATCAACAGGTAATCAGATAGCATGGTTCTTTGTTGATGAAAAAGGTTAGGGTTAGCATGGTTCTTTGCATGGTAGAAAGATTAAAGTTGTCTTTTTAAAATTAGTAATATGAGACTAGAAAGGTGAGGGTTAGGGTTACCTTGGTTCTTGGTTTACTAGAAATTTCACGGTTAGCTTAGTTCTTTGTTAAGTAGAAAGGTTTGGGTAGGCTTTGTTCCTTTGATTACTAGAAGGGTCAGGGTTAGGATTACCATATAGCTAGCTTGGGTCTTTGTTGATAGGCAGTTTAGGGTTGGGGTTAGCTTGCATCTTTGTTTGAAAGATAAATTCAGGTTAGCTTGGTTCTTTGTTGTTTTGAAAGGCCTGCATGTAGACTAAGTACCAATTAAAAAAATTGTGTCTGTCAACATCGTGGTTGACATTGAAATGTCAAAAGATTATCCATCTTTCGTAATAGTCACCTTTATAGTTGCTGTTTTTTCTTCAATAATGTGTTGAAACAAATAACCTTTCCATATTTTTTTTAGTTCATCGACTTGAAGTTGGCAGTGCTGGGCAATGTTGATGTAGGAAAAAGCACTCTTCTTGGTGTTTTGACTCAAGGAGAACTTGACAATGGAAGAGGTCGTGCTCGATTGAATCTGTTCCGTCACCTTCATGAGATCCAGTCTGGAAGGACTTCTAGTATCAGTTATGAGATTCTTGGTTTTGATGGCAGTGGACAGGTAGGTTGAGAGGATAATTTCAGTTCTATGATGGATCATATAGACCTGCATGTTTGCCGACAATCGTCTGAAATCCGACAATCGCGACCCGACCCGTGAGCCAGCCTATGTTATCGCTAGGCCCACCTGTATCAGTCAATGTGCATAGTGCGAGGCTTGCCAGCGCCCCCTTTTTCTCCCGTCGGCTTTGTCGGCACTTTCGTTTTCGTGCCGACTGCCGACGTCGGCGTTTCCGACATAATTGTCGGAACCTGAGTAGAAATGCGAATACGTAAAAGGACGACGACCTAAATTATTTACTTTCAGTTTCGTGCTCGAGCGGCCATTTTGAATTTCGTTTGTTGACTAATTCAATTGTTCAGATCGTGTGGATTCATTCATGTCCGACTTACTTGTTCTAATAGATTCTAGATCTAGATTTATATAGATTTAGATCATTATAGACCTTATTGGAGGATTCATATTCCAATTCTATTGTGTCAAACCCTATCATAGGTTGTGCTGTAATATTAATGTTGGTAAAAAGCATTTCATCAGGTGCGTGAATTATTTATTTATAGAATCTAGATCTAGATCTAGACTCAGCTGAGTCCCTCTGTTCGGAATCGGATGTGGATTTCTAGTTCTTGTAGAACTATTCATTCCTATTCACTTGTTCTACAAGATCTAGATCTAGATTTATTTAGATTACTAGATCTATATGGAGGATTCATATTCCAATTCTATTGTGTTATTGTATCAAACCCTATTAATATAGCTATGTAGATGTAGGCCTAGATCTAGATCTATGCTCCTTGTTTGTTTTGGAGTGTGGTTTTTTTAATTAAAATTTTTTATTTTATTTTGGACTTGTGCTGGCCTTTTTACCTGAGGCCCGTTGCAGGTTCTTTTTTGGGGGTAGGCCTAGGGGTAGGGTTAGGATTAGGTCTCTTCTTTATAGTGTTTGTTGGGGTGGTCACTCGTTACTCAGAAGTCCTTCCTTATATGACACCCACAAAAGCTCTTGTGGGGGGGGGGGGGGGGGGGTTTTCAGACAATCTGGTTGAGGCTCACATGCAGGTCTAATCATAGAAATGTTGAAATAGACTTCCCTTTTGCTCTTGTGTGGTTCAATATGGGAAGTAAGCAAATACATTTGGTGTTAAACTAATTAAGTTGTCTTAGATATTTTTGTGGATTGACTTGTCCTAAATATTTTTGTGGATGTTCTTTACCACAAAAAGCACCTTGTACTATGTTGAATTTGCACTTACGGATTCTGTGTAATGCAAACCTATTTACTTGAAATTCCTGGTTATACAAAAAGATTTCCAATCCCTATTCTTCCCTTCTTTCCACTATGCATTGCATGTTCCCATAACACAATAAAAAATTCCAGTATATGTAGTTAACAGGAACAAATTTTGTGCTGTTTCATCATACCCCTTGGCTGACTGTCCCCATTTCCTATATTTTTCACTTACAGTAGCCTAGCATTGTCAATATATGTCTCACAGCATATTGTATTTACCCACTCTGTCGCCACCTGCTGCACACAGTATGTGAGTGGGAAGGACAAGACAAGACACTGGGAAGCTGCCAAGCATCCTTTATTTAACCCGCCGAGTGTCAATGGCCAATAAGTTTTCTGATGTTGTGGCTGATTCAGTCAACCTTTATTTGAGCTTGTTTATCCATCGCCAATCATTTCAACTCCTTCACTGTTAAGCTCTGTTTCCTATTTACATTTTACTTTCCAAAAATGTACAGGTTCATAATCTTAACATGCTTGGTCTGCCTTTTCTCAAGCATTTTCCCACATAATGGTATGTGTCACGATGCAGTGGAATTAAACACTCATCAATATTTGGGCTTATGAAGTTATTGGTATCCAGTTCTTCCAATCTTCGGTATTTTTCAGAAATCAGTACTTTCTGAAAGTTCCGTACCTGCTCCCCCATCATTGTCATTTCAGTCCATAAAAATGTGCTATAGCACAGGGCTACTGATATTCTGTAACAAAGGATCTGTACTTGCCTTCATATTGTCGTGGATATAGATAAGTTCCTGATTTTTATGGTAATTTATTCTTGGCAATAAGTTTATGTTATAGAAATCTGCCAAATTGCGCATTTCATGCACTAGGCCATTGTGGCTCTTTGCATTTATTGGGGGTTGTCAGCAGTACAAAGTGACCAGCAGATTGATCAAAAACTGGCTAGTCACAATAGTGAACTTTTGTTTAGGTGCCAATTTTCTCCTTTCTTTCGCTCATTCTTTTTGTATATCCTAGGATCTTTGTGGAGGCTGGAAAATTTGTACATTGATCAAGTAAATCGAATTGTGACTTTGGAAAGAAAATATTGAAAAAAAAAAAGAAACTTTTTTCAAATTTGTTTAGATCTAGAAAAATTGTCAGTGTTAGCATTCCATGGGAGCGTGAAAGAGGCACCGGTGAAAGAAATTGATGCTAAAACTACTAAAATCAAGAATAATTGGAAGTAGTGCTCCGCGGTTGTGTCATTCAACATTCAAGCTTGAAAATAGTGGAAAATTAGGGTAGACGCTGGGTGACTGCATCGTCAAGCTTGATAGTCATTATTCCCAGATACCCTGAATTTTTGTGGCAAATCAAGTGGAACTTGCTTCTAAAAAAAAGTGAGCTGTTTGTGTAAATGGAGATAAACAATTTGCGAAGTTGCGAAAAACAGAGAGAGAGATTGGGAGGGTGGGGTATTTTTTGGTTTTAACGTCTGCATTGGCTATTGGAATTGCCGCAGTGGTAGGAAAAGAGGAAGAGAGCTGGAAAGGCTCGCCTATGACTTTGACCTCTTTTTTCTGCAGGAGACCAATGCTAAAACCTTATCATGTCCTGGGTACACGTCGTACATCGACCCAATGAGCCGGACTCATCATGGACTGGCCACACTTGTTAGGAATGGTATCCAGCACCGTGTAAGAGACGTCTCTGCTTGGGACAAGGAGGACAGGGAGCTACAAGCACTCGAGCTAACGATCCGCAACAGGTCATGGGTCATTGTCAATCTCTATGCCGGAGGTGGAAAACTTGTCAAGGAAGATTACTGGGAGTTCCTCCATGAGCTGTGCGATCTTGGAGATGTTGTCCCGATCCTTGGGGACTTTAATGCCAGAAGCTTGGCCTGGGGCAATGTCAACGAAAATGGTCAGGGAAAGGCTTTGGACAGCAAATTGATTGAAAGTGATCTCCACATCCTCAACATTTCCACCATGACAAGACTATCTCAAAGAACTGGTGAACAGGACTCCAATATAGATCTGGCCCTGATCAAAACAGGTGGCGAAGCTTTTACACAATGGAGTGTACTGGCAGATCACGGTAGCGACCACCTGCCATGCTCAGTTTTTATATCAAAGGGTGGAAAGACAGTGAGACAAAAGGTCAAGAGGGTGTTTAAGTACAAACCAGACACCTCGGTCTTGGGAGGCCTGAGAAAGAAGGTCTGGAACAGAAAACCCTCAAGATCTAATGTTACGCAGCCGCCTGTGGAAAGAGAAGAGGAATGCTGTTAAGGACTGGCAAAGAAAGAGAAAGAACCCCTTTGTCACTGAGGAAGAAAGGGAGGCAGCTAAAGAGCTGGCCAAAACAGCAAAGTGGGAAGAGTTTGTAAAAAACATTGCAGCTGAGAAGGCACTCTCAACGTTCTGGAAACTGCGAAAGAAGATGTGTGGACAGGGTCACTCAAAAACCACCGTGAATGTGAAGGACGAGTCAGGAAAGACACTCCAAACTGATGAGGAGAAAGGTAGGGCTTTCTTGGACCGATTCATCCATCAAACACACCAGGGAAATATTGACTCAAGAAAGGAAGTTGAAAGAGATATTTCTAGAGTGCTGACACCAGAAATGTATGCAAATTACGAGGATGTGATATCTACAGAAGAGGTTTCCAGAACGATAAAACATGCCAAAGACAGTGCTGGAGGGCCGGATGGTGTAAGATATTGCCACATGAAAGAGGCAGATGATGAGATGATTGAAGGAATAACAAAAGACTTCAACAAAAGCATTGGCACTGGTGAAATCCCTGAAGAATGGTTGCACAGCTGGTTAATACCAATCCCCAAACCAGGAAAAGACCACTCGGCTCTCAGTGGTTACAGGATGATAGCCATGCAGAACACCTATGGGAAAATTCTGGAAAAGATAGTTGCCGGACAAATATCGGCACACTTAGAGAGGAAGTCCCTGTTGCCAAATGAGCTTGGCAGTTATAGACCCCATCGAGAAACCTCAGTGAATGTGGCTGTCATGGTGTACGACATCTATGAAGGCTTTCAGCAGCGGAAGGAAACAGTTGTGACGGTACTTGACCTTGAGGATGCTTACAACCGAGTCAGCTATAGACGTTTGATCGACCGCCTCCTGGAATTTGATGTAGACATATGGTTGGTGAGATGGGTAGCAGTAGCCCTGGTGGAGAGAAAAATGGCCCTGAGACAGGGTGAATGGACTTCAGATCCGGTATCAATTGCTCCTGGACTGCCCCAAAGATCCCCCCTCTCTCCTGTGCTTTTCAATGTGTACACTGCACAGGTAACGATGCATCAGAAAGAATCTGGACGTGTCCTGAGCTTTGCGGATGACATAATGGCATACAAGCACGGAGATGACAGACTTCAGATGGCAAGGAACATGGAGAAAAGACTTCACTCAGTAGTAAAATGGTGCGACCAAAATGAAGCAGTCATCAGTCCTTCAAAGGCGCAGGTACTTTGGTGTTCCCTCAACAACAGGATTGTCCAAGACATAACTCCACCAATCACTTGCAACTATGAGATTATCTACAGACAGTCAGAGCTGAAGTATCTGGGAATCGTCTTCGACAGGTCGTTATCCTTCAACAAGCATGTGAATCATGTGGTAACAAAGGCCAAACGAGGTGTTGGTGCAATCAAGACCATGGCGGCCGCTCTGATTCCGCAAAGAGTGCTCTTCCTGATGTTGCAGCTGGTCGTCCTGTCTGTCATTGATTACGGATTGGGCTGTCTCACGCTGTCCGACACACAGATCGCAAAGCTAGATCGAATGCAGAATGAGGCAATGAGAGCAGTTCTGGGCTGCACCAAGGACACTCCAATATTGTGCATGCGCTACTTGCTAGGTTTAAGTGGCATCAGAGTACGCCATAGGATAGCTCAGGCAAAGATGTATCTCAATGTAAGGGGCAAGAAGGATCATCCACTTCACAAAGCACTTCATGACTACAGGAGAGTCAGAATCAAGAGAGGAAAATCTTGGATGGCGGAAGCAGAGGATTCCCTGAGAACAATCTGTGTACCTGAGAGCCTACCACTAGGCGAAGAATGGGAACAGGTGGCCGGAGAATACAGGGACCTCACCAAGGTCAAAATAAGCATGGGTAGAGACAGAAGAAATGTTGCGGCTGCCATCAACGAGAGCGATATCAACGAGATTGTTGACACAAACTCAAAAGCAGGGGATCCTATAATTTATACAGATGGTTCAGTGAAAAGAGATAGCCAGAGAAGTGGATGGAGATTTGTTGCATTCGCCAACAATAAAATCATACACAGTGCATCTGGAGCCTGCAGCAGGGCTACATCAAGTCAAGTATGCGAATGGAAATTGAAGTCATCACGAAAGCACTTGATTGGATGACCCAAGATCGCCCCCACACAACCCATGCTGTTCTTGTCACTGATTCCATGTGTACCCTCAGAAGGATCGAAAAAGGTTTCTTGAGAACAGAATGGATTCAAGCTATCGAACCAACGCCTATACGATCGCTCACATGGATTTTCTGCCCTGGCCATGCAGGTGTTAGGGGAAATGAAAAAGCCGACAGATTGGCTGGTGAGGCCACCTTAGTTGACAATACGGTTCAACCAGATAGGGTCGAGATCCTGAAATGTCTCTCTCGCCAGCTGATTGAGGAGGAAGATAGGGAGGCAGAGGCCAGTACTGCCGTGGAGAGGATGATGCTTTTGGGAATAAAAAAAGGAAGCGGAAAATCTGGCATCCTTGCAGGAAAGAACAGAAAAACGTTCAACCAGATGTGCAACATTTTGGAGAGAGCAACGGAGCATCAATGGACATGTCCGGAGTGCAGGGATGTTGCTTCCTGAAACAATAACAATAACAATAACAATAAGTGTTTTACGGCGTTCGCAACTGCATAAGGTCATATGAGCGCGCAGGACTCATTAAACTTTTTTCAGTTGGTAGGAAATTTTGAATTTTGCCTGGGTGGGGGCCAAAGCCTACTCTTATCGATTTTAGACCACCAAAGGATCTTTAACGTGCACAATTTGCACACGAACCCTCCGAGATTTTTCGCCCTTGTTCAAGAAGGCTAGGTGTAGTTCTTTCCTACTAGAAGATCAGGGGTGGGGCTGAAAGACAGCAGTAAGAAGGAGCCAAGGAGTACAAGTAGAAAGGTGGCAGAAAGAGTCAGAAGCCCAGAGGAGGGGGCAAAGGAGGTGAGGGGGGAGGGGGCAGAAAGAGGAGACGAAAGCAGACGACAGGACATTAATAGAGAGCAGGAAAAGAGACATTTTAGAGCAGAAATTTTTTTCGTCGCTACCCGGATTCGAACCCGGGACTTTTGAATGAGAGGCCAACACCTTAACCTTAGATAGATCGCGAGAGCCCCCGGGGAGGAGGTATGAAGCATTGAAGAGAGGAGAAAGTCAAAGAGCGATGAAAAGGGATCGAGAAAAAGTCGCAGAATGTGAAAAAAGAGAGAAAGAGGAACTTGGGTGTGAAAGAAAGAAAGATAGGGAGAGATGGGTTGGATTGGTGAGGTAATTTCATCTCTTACTTTCATGATGAAATGGCTTACTGCCAGAATCATTCTTTCAAGAAAGAGCTTTTTAGATTTTCTCCTAGTCTTGCAGAGGTTTCAGATTGCCCTAACTTTGATCAGTGTAATTCTATGGTCAAGAAATATGTAAAGATAAAGCTGCTGTTCTCTCTTTTTAATGGTGTAAAGTTTGAACAATAACATAGCTTCAGTTTGTTAAAAAAATTATTTGTTTAACTTTTAAGGTCACCCCCAACCAAGTTGGTTTATTGTGAAACAAGGCTATCGGGAATGGGTTGTTACATATCGTGGCAGGTTGAGCCACTTTGTCAAATAGGAATCTTGGCCTGAAAGGAGAGATTGAGACATTCTCACGTACTTACCAAAGGAAACACAGATGTATTTTGAAACACACACACACACACACACACACACACACACACACACACACACACACACACACACACACACACACACCACGTGTACACACACACACACACACACACACACACACACACACACACACACACACACAAACACAAACACAAACACACACACGCACACACGTGCACACACATGCACACATAAGTAGGCTTACAATCACATGCATAATATAAATGAGCAGCAATATAAACAATAATAATCGTAAGCTAGATACACACTCAATGTTATTTTGATGCATGCTCTAAGGTCGTAAGTATACTTATACAAGATGGTTAAGATGGAAGCATTTTGATAGATGATAGTAAAAATGACCTTCTGTATCTTTCTTTATTACAGATCAGAAGTGAAAGGAGTTTCAACCTATTGATTTGTCCATAAATCATTGTGTGTGTGTTAGTGTATTTTTTAAAGTTGTAATTCACTTTCTCCCATCAGACTTGTTCATCTTGTACTTTAGTAATAGGGTAGGGCATGTCTGTCTGTCTGCCTACCTGCCTTCTTGCCTGCCTGCCTGGGCCCTTGCTTCTGTACATTTTTTTCTTTCTCCTTGTATGTGTGTGTGTCTGGCCCACTAGGAAATCACGTTTTTCGTCAAGTTCCGCGATAAACCCGCAATTTTTGCAATTTATTGCAATTTTAGGCAAAAATACATCAACGCTTTAATTTTTACAGAATTTTTAATACGAAATTGCGCGAGTACAGAGTCGATACGTAAATCGTGGTATTGGCCCAGCCAGCTCTAGCCTACTAGGCAGTACTCTAAATACTATAACTGGAAATTCAGGCCGGAATACAACACGACTTGACCAAAGAAACGGCAAGTGCCTCAAACGCAGTTCTGAAACTGAGACATAGATCTAGATCCAGCCATGGACAAATTTGTAACTCCGTCAAAGTCAAAGACAGGCACGTAAGCGACAGTGACCGATCATCATAGGCAATTTCCAAACGATGCGTTTGTCAGCAGACAAGAGACTGCTGTATTGTTGATGGTGCAATAGTGTGTTGGACCACCAACGAAAGTCCAGCATGGATAACCACATGTCAACAGATAAACATAAAAAGAGAAAGGAAGGGAAATCACGGGGACCTCCAGTTTTTTTGTGTCACGTGGTATTATATTATATTTGGTCGATAACTTATTGTTAACGTACTTGTTTTTTGTTACTAGTAAATGTTGTTAATAAAATTTGTATTGTGCATCATGATTTGTTAAAAGGCTATTCTGCTTTTATGCTACTCTAATTGTCATGTTTTTTAAACTGAAAATTTTAAGCTCATTTTAATGTGCCTGGGGTGGGAAGGTTGCAATTTTTTGTCATTTTTAGGCAGTGTACCTTGCAATTTTTAAACCATTTTTCTATTTAAAAAATGCAATTTTCCATGGGGCCAGGTGTGCGTGCATGTACATTCATGTGTGTTTCATGAATTTTGTGCCAGGGGATATTACCTTTAACTTTGGAAATGTTCTTCTTTCCTTACCAGCTTTTGGTGTATTTCATTCTTGTTGTTCATCTGTTGAGGGTTGCAAGCTGCCATTAGTTAGTCCAACAACTTTCTTGTACATGAATATAAAATTGTTTAGCTTTTTCTTACCTTTTTATGATTGTGTTAAAAAAATTTCTTAGCACTAGTCTAAACTTAAACTCGTCTTTTTCAGGTGGTTAACTACAGTGCCTGTCGCAGTGTGGAGGAGATTTGTGAAAAGTCAAGCAAATTGATAACCTTGATTGACCTTGCAGGTCATCACAAGTACCTCAAAACCACAATATTTGGACTCACTGGCAACTGCCCAGATTTTGCCATGTTGGTCGTCAGTGCTAACAATGGAATAGGTAATGGTTTCTTATTTTATGCTTTGACAGTTTTCTGTGGGCCAGTGATCTGTGGTGGGCAGTTGGTAGGCAGTTTGGTGTGATGTGCTTCCATGGCTTCTTTACTGAATTACTATTATGTGTAAATATTGTCTTTATTCCATTTCTGAGGATTTCATAAATTGGCATTTGGAGGCATCCTGGTGAAATCAGGCGCTCGTCAAAATAATGAAATCAGAGAAATTGACCTTTTTCCGGCTCTTGGGCAATTCTTCTTGAATGTTTTTTTGGGCCTTTTTTTGGGGGGGGGGGGGGGGGCTTAACCTTTTATGTCCATTTAAAAACTACATTTCTGTGTGCAGGTTACTTGAAAAACATTGACCAAAGGCATAAAAAATGTAAACTTTCAGTTTTCAAGGACACTCAAGCTTTGGAAGTCACCGAAATTTGGCGGCCATTTTCCCGCTAATTTTCCCTCTTACACTAGACGACTCCAACCTCCTTCAATCGCAAATACCTTGACTTCTATTCATGATAGACAGGTATTTTTTTTTCGAAAGCAAGACAAATATACATGCTTTAAAATGAAACTAATAACTCCATGTGCCCAGAAATTGACAAGCGCCTGATTCCACTGAATCGTGACATTTCTTTTACTAACGTTTCATTTTGGTAACATATCAACAAGCACCCATCCTATCCTATCAAAACATCTCATTGGAGACAAAGAATCAATTCATCAGATTAATCTTTTTTTTACAAACTCTGCTACCAGAGCCAGATCTGGATTCTTAACTGTCTTAGACAACAAAGAAACAAAGACATCAGACATTAAGTAGGTGTTGAATGTGGCGCAAAATACGTCTAGAAAAAACAAATAAGTTGGTTTGGACAATTGATGAGAATGAGGCAACAGCAGCTAACCTCCAAGGCCTACAACGTGTGTTTCAATGGTTTCAAGGCAAAAGGAAGGAAAAAGAAAAAGATGGATCGACAGAGTCAAAGAGACCTCCCAAAAGAACAACATTATCCAAACAGTGACATACCTGGCCCACATCCTACAATTGCATCTCCCCTTGACACCTTGTGGTATAAGAAAACAGAGAAAGTTAAAGTAAGCGACCATAGCAAGATATAACAAAATTGACCAAAGTTTCTATTGTGAACATGACAGATTTTGGGTTTATAGTGTTATTTGTTCGGTAGGCTTACTTTTTTCAACATTTAGATTAAGATTTGATTTTTTTTCCAGAGCACATGTGGCTAATACCACAGATTAAGAAGCTGCAATAATTTATTCTTTTAATATTTGAGTTTTAGAACCTTTAAACAAGTTGCTGATGATATGCACTACACAAGTAGATGAGGATCTCACTTTCCTGTTTGTAAAGCCTACCTTAAATTAAGTTAAGTCCTGCTTCTTTTGACAGTGGGAACTACCAAAGAACATTTAGGTTATGCACTGGCTTTGGATGTACCGGTGTTCGTGGTGGTCACTAAAGTGGACATGTGTCGACTAGCAGTCCTGGAACGCACACTGTCCCAGCTGGAGCAGATTCTCAAAAGTCCTGGTGTCAAACGTGTGCCAATCCGCATAAAGAATCCTGATGATGCAATCACAGCTGCCAGCAATTTGGAGTCCCGGCAGTGAGTTCAGAATCTTCTAATGTCAGGATTTTAATTCAGTGTGATGAATTAGTTTTTTTAATCTACATAGCTATAATCTCAGCTCATTGAATTGTAGTGTTATGTTGGTAGCTCAAAGAAACATTTCAGTGTTTGAATGTATGGTTCAGAAAGAACTGAAGAAATGATGAAATGTATCATTTAAATCATTAAAATCAGACAATAAATAAAAATGTTATCAAGTATCAAGGTTCAAATTCATTCAAAACGTACAAAATGTATCACAGCAGGCAAAACAAGCAAAAAGCGGCACTTTGAACAGTCACACAATCATTTATTATGTCTTCATGCAGTCGGTGACAATGTTGTGACATATAAAGACTAAAGCCCTGGTCACATGCAATGATATACTGAGTCAGATTTGTCGTATGTGAGAACTATTCATTTTATCAAACTATCTGTGTAGTCCGTTTACAGATTCCAATATATCATCTTGTTTTCTTTTGGTGGGGGAGATTCCTCGTCATAAAGCTGCCATGTCGCTTTGCAACGACAGCGATTTGCTTGCACTGTTTGTGCTGCTGTTTAGTAAAATAAAGAAAAAGAGGCTTATTTGGACTAAAGACTGGCTATTAAAGCTAAATATTTTCACCCAAAAATCTACTGAAAAAACAACAGACATTACCATTAATGGAGAGAGAATCAAATAAGTACACCTATTCAAATATCTAGGGGGAAAAACTCACAGACCATGGCAGAAGTGAAAAAGAAATTTAATATAAGAACAGCAAATGCAAAAACAATATTCAGCCAAATGCACAAACTACAGTTGAACCTGTGTGAGGCCGTCTGAGACAAGTAGTCTTCATAGGCAGGACTGATGACAAATGAAGAAAACAAACCAGTCTCTTTTGAGGTTCCAGACAGAGGTGGTTAGAGGCTTAAGACTGCCGTTGGGCTAATTAAAATGGATTTTTTGGGGGAGAGGGTAGGTTGGTTTTTGTTTTTTTTGTTGCTGGTTTTGTTTGTTTTGTTTTTTGTCTCTTTGTTCTTCGGGTTGTATTTTTTTTAGGGGAAATGGATTGTTTTTGTTTTGTTTTTTAGCCCTATCTGGCGCTTTTGTGTTTAGTAGTTACAATAAATAAGTAAATTAATTAATAAATAAATATATATGTTTCTTCACTTTTATAACTTTTATTGGTAAATTGGTCGCTTTTAGGACAAGCGGGCTAACCAAGATTTCGGGGGGTTTTCACCAAAAGTGGACATTGCTCTACCTGTAGGAGAAGTTTGGTTTCATTGGTGTGTATATTTGTTAGGTGATAGAGAAAACTCTCCTTGTCTTTTAAAGAAACTGAATAAGGGGCAATAATTTTGCCTCTGATTTTCTCAAAACACCATTTCTCGGGATAGCCCCCTTGTGCTTAAAAGCGCCCAATTACACATCTAAGTTGACAGTGGGTGGTTGGGGGGTGCTCTGGTGTGGTTTGCTCCTTCTTTCCTATCAAACATCTATCGTCCTTATCTCTTCTCCTTTTTGAGTTTGCATACAACTGCCCTCACACAGTGGTTATTCATGACTGTTGCAAAGACTGTTCACATGACTTGGAGATGGGAGCTCAACGATTGTCAAATTACCAGAGAGCAGAAGAGGACAAGCAATTTTGTTATAAATAATATAAATTCTTCAACAAACTTGACGAAATTGCTATCCCATTATTAGAGACAGGATACAGGCAAATCTTTCCTGACTAATACTTTCAAAGCCTCAAAGGCCTTTATATAGAGTACCAAAGAAAACAGAAAGAGTCACACTTTTTCCCAGATGACTTTAGAGAGATAATCAAAAAGCGCAACTTGTTGCATGTATGTCGGAAGGATCAATGTGAAGTATGCAGTGTAGGAGAAAGAATCACCTCCTTCAATCGCCAATATCTTGACTGGTATCCAAGATAAATGGATGTATGTTTTTCATCAAAAGCAAGGCAAATGGACAGGCTTTTTAAGATGATACCAATAACTCTGTATGCCCCCAAATTGAGGAGCGCATGACTCCACCGTGTCGTGTCACACACACACACACACACACACACACACACACACACACACACACACACACACACACACACACACACACACAGTATATATGTAATTTGTACATCAGTGTGTAGGAAAAAGGTAAGCCTTTCCATTGATATACCATACTCAATAATTTTTTTCTTTTCAATTGGTTAATTAGCGATTTTTGTTGTTTCCAGTTCTCATTTGCTTGTTGACGCAGCTTATCGTCGATGGGATTCACAAACCGGCTACATGCAAAAATTTCAAAAATCTTTTTATTTGCTTAATGAATAGTAAATAGCCTAATACGTGTCCCCAATAAATATTAGGTTTGAAAAAAAAACTAGAAATATGTTTTAATTGAGACTTTCCAAAACGGACAACTGCAGCTGATGGAAAAATGGGATCACCAAACAGGCCATGTTCATAGCCGCATCGGTTTCACCAGACTGTCGCGACACGCGTTGATACGTGCCTTAAAAAACTGGCTACATGCTTCCCCGCCGCGCCTCACCCCGACCGTTCCGTATGGTTTTTTTCTCTTGAACTAGAGAGAATTGTAAACAGTTATCAGTGTTCATCGAGATAAATAATATTATAGTCAACAATGAAGTGACTTGTAATATAAAGCATTTGTGAGATTCGATTTACTAGATTACATTTGTCAATTAATTTATGCATCTAGATGAGACATAAGAACATGAAAGATCAATAGAGTTCCAGCCACATTATGGGCCCGCACCTTTACAACAAGCTCTCTCTCTCTTCTTCTTCTTCTTCTTCTTCTTGTTCTACTTCTTCTTCTTCTTCTTCTTCTTTTTTTTCCTCCTCCTCCTCCTCCTCCTCCTCCTCCCCCTCCCCGTCCACCTCTTCTTCTTCTTCCTCTTCTTCTTCTTAATCTTCTTCGCCTACATTAATTGTTGTATTATAATAGCACACTCTAGTGTTAGCTGCTGCAGAGCAGCTGTAATAGCAGTAGTAGTACCATCATCATCATCAGCTGCAGCAGCAGCAGTAGTAGCTGCAGAAGTAGTTCTTGTACTGGCAGTTTGAAGCAACATCAGTAGCAGCAGAAGTAGTAAAACCTCCGCCGGCGTCATCTATGATTCACGATTGATAAAGAAAGGACCAAGAACAAGTCATCGAAAGAGAGAAAAAAACTCCCGAAATATGAAATGGCTATCTTTGTCAGGTTTACAGAATAGTTCATCCACGTTAATGCTGTTCTTCTATAATAATTAATGCTAATCCTTTTCAAATACCACTTTCTTGACATTTTGACATGAGTCTGGCTGAGGATACATGATGGATTCCCTATCTCGAGGAAGATGCCAGGTAAAGCTGAGTCTGGCAAAGACGTTGGAGAAGACTGCGGACGATGGCAAGTGCTCTCCAGCAAATTATCCACGATTCACCTCTATCATGGAGCCACGATATTGCCCATGGCTGTCACTATCGACTCTGCTTCACCCTGGTGTTTTGAACTTTTCACTTTCAGAAAGTGTCATTGGTCTTCTTAAGAATGACCCTGAGTTTGAGATTTTTCTTTATACTATTGCCAGAGATCCCTACAGCTGTAGGCAGCAATCACAAGGGAACTAATGGACATAGAATTGGAAGGCGGTGGAATGCATGTATGATGTGTGATGTAAGCAGAAGGAATGGATTCTTGCGACAAGATTATTTACAAGTGCGGCAGGGAGGTGGGTAGAAGAGGAATGGAAGAAGGAAATGGTAAAATTAATCCTTGTGGGGGGACTGCCTTCTCGAAAGTAACAGATTGACTAGCACAACTGGAGACAAAATGAGACCAAAAGGCTGGAATAACAAAAGCTAAAATAGCTCAACAAATCCAAAACGATACTCTGGTCAGAATAATAGATACAATTGTGACGAATTCAGTTATATAAGGAAAGAGACAGATTTTTTAAAAGCATTATGGAGACTCACATGGGTACAGAAGCGTACATTTGTAATTCATTAAAAATAGACGATGTGATCGGGAGAAGAGTTTTGTGCGTCTGGATCAAGCCGGTCTGAAGAGACCAAAGGTTCAGAAAATAAAGTGCATTCAGGTATTTTCAACAACGTAGCTGACAGTTTGCGGAGAAAGTTTGCTGACAGTTCTTTATTATGTCAACCATCGGACTTTGGAACATGATGTGTTAGGAACTGGGCGATGAACGAGTAGTCAAACATGAATGCACGTGTGGCCGATGTATCCTCAGTGTTGAGGGATTCTTCAACAAGTTATTACGACTATCATTACATTACTGTATGGCTCAACTAAGCTGTACCTTGAGGCCCCTTTCCAAAGTTTCGCTGACGTGTAATGGTTCTACACTTCAGAGTATACAGAAATGGAGCAATGCTCCCTCTGGTGGTGCAAATTTTCGACGAGCTCAACTTGGCTTTGTTCTATCCTCGTAAGTATTGTTGCGATGTTTACGTGATTATTGTGGCAACGTGCGTGAACTGGCTTGGTTGAAACATTGAAAGTATGAAGAAACAAACAGAAAGCCACAGCCAACAAGGAAATAGCCATCAAATCCTTAGGTGAAGATGAAAAACACTCTGGTGTTGAATGGACGTGCCAGCTGTTCCTTTGGCACTAGGAAGCAATGCGTCTTTTCTGTATTACAAGATTAAAATATTGGTGCATCATTTTACGTTCTACAACATTGCTGAGAACCATGTGGTGGGCTGAGACAGAACGAATTTGCAACGTACATAATCAACTTTTTGAAAGGAATCATGGCTGCCAAAAGTAACTCTTATACGGTGATGATTGGACATACCAAACCGATATTCGACTTCGGCAAAGCTGCTTCTTTTTGTGCTAGAAACAGGGTTCAAATTGAACAAAGAATACCAGAAAAGGAGCATCTTACAAACGGAAGTGGGTTTCCGAGCTCAATTATATCGAGAGGAGGTTGAAAACTCCCCTACCTATGTGTCAGCCCAGTATGTCCATAATGATAAAACAGTCATCACGCTCAAACCCCATCCATACCATGTGAAATATCTGCAACACCAATGACTTTCAGGATTACAAGAGCATGTCCGACCATTTCCAACCCAGCAGGAGAGTTGGGGACTCTTCGGTGACGGACAGGAGGTGTATCATGTTGAGTCACGGAGGTGAGCCCCACCAAATTCTCCCAAGAGATCTAACCAAGCAAAGTGGGAGCTGGTTGACCTAACGCCTGTCTACAATAGCTCCAGGAAAATGAAAAACGGACAAATACTAACATCTCCAAAGGGCGTAAGAGTAAGAGGTCATACCAGTTGACTACCATCAATTTTACCACGCTCTGTCAACTGACTAGCACCGAACAATGCTCACAGGGAAAGTAGAGACTCACAATCATTGAATTGAAATGTGATTTTTATCATCTATGTAGCTTACACTGTTTCATTGTTTATTATAATGTAGGAACTCAAGTGTGAGAAATGATGAAAGATAGTTCACAGGAAGAAATGAGCCCATCTATGAGCAATCAAACGATACTGGTTACTATATTTTTTCAATCACGCTCCAGACAATAAGATGTAAAGGGACCAAGTTTTAAATGTTATAATAATTCAGCCGAAAATCGAACCCTTGACCTCCCGATCTAGATTAGAGCCCCGAGACCAACGTTTGCCATACCAAGGCCCTGCCTTTTGGGGATATCGGACAAAAGTGGAGGTTTCTCAGACAAATACTCAAAAAAGTCTTGTCCTGGCTTTTTAAACAACTTAATTTGTTTTGGTTTGGGGTTTTGTTTGAGATGTCTTCTTATCAACAATTCTAGTCGAACAATTGATGACCTGGCACATTGGGATATTTCACGAAGTACAGCAAAATTTCATCTCAGGTAGATATAGTCCCCCCCCCCTCCTATTCTCTTGAATAACCTAATAGTGTTGATAAGGCGTTGAACCTTAACCATTGCACTTGTTTAAGTTCATGTATTGGCCTTCAGACACCGGGTCGACGACTTCTCCTAGTACTGGTCACCTAATGTAAATATACTAGGCGAGAGAGCTGCTAGGATGTTAAATTAAATTCATTAAAATTTCCACCATGAATCGACAGGTAACAAAGTTTGAACCCACACATCCCAGTAACCAGGGTTAATTAATTTACTGACAAAAGGCCAGTCAAAGCACTGAACTTGTCATTCTAATCTAAAGCATTTTGTGTAAAAATCGACCAGGTTAAGATTCAAACCCAGTTTGAACTAGCTTTCATTAAGACAGATCTATTAGTTTAAATACTATAACTCGCCGTCGTCCACATAGATCTCGGCCTATACTTATTATGACGGCGAACAGTGGTACACAGCTGCAACAAACCGGCTACATGCAGCCTCGTGCCACGACTGTGTGGGGAAGCGTCCTGCGGGAACTGGCCACATGCAGAGAACCGGCCACCTGCATTGTGCTGCACATTTTTTGTGATTATAACCGGCTACTTGCGAAACAAAACTATCGGTTGTGGTATTTAAGAAAAATCAAGTAGTATTTGGTCCCAACACTTATGACTTAACCGTTTGTATAAAAATATGAAAGATTGTGCTGCGCGTTTTAACAATAATCAGTTTTTTGTCCCTCCTGTAAAATTTGCCTTTCTGCATGTAGCCGGTTTGTGAATCCCATCGACGTCATTATTCTTTTTACTATCAAAGGAAAGCGTGTGATGATTACCCCTCTTTCATGGTCAATTAATACTACAAACATTTCCGTTTCTCATGGTCAAGTGGTTTGTAACCTACCCGGCACAAATCTTTTCGCCAGTAGGGCTGAGCACAACGATCCTATCAAAGACCCTATTGTTGTTTTCTCAAAACATTATTTAGTAATTGCTACCAGTGTAACAAAAGAATACTGTATTTCGAAAGGGGAAAGACAATAAAACTAAAACACAAATAAAAATAGATATCCTTTTATTTGTAAAAAGAATTTGGGAGAAAAGTGGCAGGCATTTGAGTTGAGACAAAGTCGACACTTCTCCCTGCTCACATGCACTTTTCCATCTGGAGCGCATGCGCAAGATATAAAGAAAGGGTGGAGATGGGGGGTGAGGATGTGTTTCCGTTGATCAGGAAAGCACAGATTTCTTACACACCAATGTGATGGGAAAAGATTGGCCTTTCAGTTGAAGCTAGTGTTCTCAACTTGTGCTTTGCCTGTGATTCATCCAAGTTCTCAAATACCTGTATTTTCTTTCTTCTGTCTTCCTTGTAATTTCCTCCTCTATTCTCTGTCTTCGCAGGATCACACCAATCTTCACAGTGTCATGTGTCACAGGAAAGGACCTTGACCTAGTGAAACAGTTCTTGAACATACTGCCTCCAGTGACCCCTCATTGTGAGCGGGAAAAGCTAGCTCAGGACATGACGGAATTCCAAATAGATGAACTCTTTTCCATACCTGATGTGGGCACCGTGGCTGGAGGTATCATTCAGAGGTTGGTCTTCCTACAATACTGCATCCAGCTCACTGCATGAGAGTTTTGGTGTGACTGTTTTCAGAGGGAGGTTAATGGATTAAGAAACTTGAGAAAAACCTTGTTCCACCTTTGTGGAGGAAGGCTGCAGATCATTCCCTAGTCATCCCTGATGATTGCCAGTGGGAAATGGCTTGTTAATGCTGTGCCTTGTGCCATCATTTTAATAAATGGTACTCAGATTAAATATTTTTTCCTCTCTTCAGTCACTTTGAACCTCTTGAAAAATGTGTGGTAGCATTGAATTTGATTATTTATAGTATTCTTTTTCATAGAGGCTCAATCAGGGAGGGGGATCAACTGATGCTTGGCCCATCTGATGATGGCAGTTACCGCAAGGTCAAGGTCAAAACTGTGCACAGGAACAGACTACCATGTCGGTTGATACAGGCAGGACAGGCAGCATGTGTGGCGCTACAAGATATAGAGCGGGAAGCTGTGCGGAAGGTAATACTCTCTTCCTCTTGGATGTCTTAAACCACTGCTTTTTCTCCTCCTCTGTCGTTATACTTTATATACTTGATATAAAATATACCTCTTTAAAATTAATGAAGGTTGCTCTGTAAATTATAGTGAGGATAAAAGATACGGACTGCCTGGCCCAAGACTGTCACGGGCTCTCTGGTTGAACGATAAATAGATACGAATTACTGCCTTACATAAGTCTCCCTCTCCCACCTCCCTCCATCATCCCCTCCTTCCCTTTCCCCCTCCTCTCCACCTCCCTCATCATCCCACCCATTCCCAACCCCTCATCCCCCTTCTCAACCCATTATCCCCCCCAAATCACCACCACTACATTCCACCTCTAACTCCCCCAATTGCCCTCCAGTAGTAACTCCACAGGAAACTTTATTTCTATTAGATTTAATGCATTGAAAATAAATAAATTTGTTTAAAACTTTTACGGACAATTTGTTGTCCCAACACCATGCCTAATCATTTTAGATTAATTTCAATTGACTACTTTTGTAACATAGCCATAGGTTCTTGTTGATAGAAGACAATCTAAGCATGTGGTCAGCCTTTACTTACTACTGGTATGTTTGCACACTTAGATATCGTTTTTGAAATGATGAAATAACTAGAGATAGAGGTAGGTATAATTAGTTTTCCATTATAAATATCTACCAAATATGAGTGGCTGAGGGAAATATGAAAGTGAGTTTGGGAGTATGAAGGGCAAGGCATCTGCTCACTGTTGCTTATTTTGTGGGGTTGAGAGTATTGTGGTCATTGGGCTGTCAGTCGAGAGGGGAAAACAACATTACTTAACTTCTTAATTCTAACAAAAAAGTAGCCTGCAATGAATTTTTATTCCAATTAACTGGGATTTATAGAACCCAAGAATGTGCTTCTACTTCGAGACCTGCCCCAGTACTCATTTCTGGGCCTGGTAGTGAACGGATTAACTGGTTGTTGTTTAAGTTACTGCTGGTCTATTTTTAGGGCATGGTGCTGGTGAGTCCACAGTCTCCTCTGTACAGTTGTCTGAGGTTCGAGGCAGATGTGTACGTCCTCTTCCACAACAAAAGCATCACTGTTGGCTTTCAGACAACAATCCACATTGGCACTGTGTGCCAGACTGCTGTTATACGAGACATTGACAGGGTAAGTTTCAGTGTGATTTCATGCTTTGTGTGTGTGTGTGTGTGTGTGTGTGTGTGTGTGTGAGTGAGTGAGTGAATGAGAGAGAGAGGGAGAGAGAGAGAGATTATAGTAGCAATGGAAGATGAACCTGCTTTTAAACATTGCAAGCAATGGAAAGATATGTTGGTGAAGAAATCAAACAAGACAAAATGTTGGTGAAAAAATAGGTAGTATAGGTTGTTGGCAATCTCTTCAAACAGGCTCCCAAATGCCATTTTCAACCCTCTAAAAGCACTAAATTTCTATTTCTGGGACCCTGCTGGGGGCCTCCGCGGCCCCTGGCAGAATTTTTCTTACTTTTCAGCTTCAGCTGATGGAAGCACTGATTTTTACAGAAATTTGTACTTGCTGACAGTTCCGTACTTGCTCCCCCATCATTATCATCTCCATCCATAAAAAAGTGCAAAAGCGTAGGGCTACCGAAATTCCTAGGCAAAGGAACTGTACTCGTCATCATATCGTCTCGTATAAGTTACGGATTTTTACAGTAATTCTGGCTGCAATAGGTTAATGTTATAGGAGCCTTCCAGACCTGGGAGTATGAGGAAATCTGTTAATTGACCCAGGAAAGACACGGGAAAATACAAAGAAGTTCTCGAATATTTGAAAACCAAATCGGATAGGTCAGTAAATTCATTTTTGCTGGTCATGATTTTGATGTTTGTTCGGCTTTTCCCGGTCCGAGAGTACGTTTCTCGCAAACAGGCGGCTATGGCGAAGGTGGAAGTGTGTTGAACAGTAAGGTTAGATTGGATTGGGAAAAATGAAGATCTACTTTCGCTTTCGTTACCACCCAGAAATTTGCAGGTGATAATCTGATATCGCAACATTTGTGACATGCAGGTTGTGCATTTTAAACACTGTGTGGTCATGCAAATAAATAAAATCAATATAAGTCACTGTGTTGTCTCTTGTAAAGAAAAGAAAAGAAAATACAAGTATCGTCGGATTTTAAGCTTGTTGGGCTCGTCTTTGTGACTAGTCAGTGAGCCTGTGCGTGTTCACATCACATGCTACAGCATCGTGTGAATGTGAGTAACGGCGGTTATTGAGGTTGCCAAAGTTCATTCAAAGACTGAGCGTTGCGAAATATGACTCTGGAATGGGGTGAATTATTGTTTTTTTTTTTTAAAGATATACTCGGGGGTGGTGAAGGGAACTTGATGACAGCTTTTAGAATTTTGATAAGATCTCTCTGCAAAGCACGCTTTGGTGCAGGCCTTGTGTGGAATCGGAATTCACCATACCTTGTAAGCCTTGTTATTGAACAAAGTGTTTGCATTTCATTGGATGGGTGATAGTGATAGTAAATTATTACTATATTTTAGCTTTTTGCCCTCTGTTCTTACAACTCTCACACTGATAGGTCTACTTGAGCCATTCAATTTATTACTCTACTTTGAGTTTGAACTATAATCTCGATGAAAAAAAAATAGGTACTATGGGTTGTTGGTTTTTTCTTCACAGACAGGCTCCCAAATGCCATTTTTAACCCTCTAAAAGCACTAAATTCTAATTTCTTCAGGGACTTTGCCCCCTGTACCCCCATCGGGATGCTGTCTCAGAACCCTGCAGGGGGCCTTTGCGGCCCTCAGACCCGAGGCAGAATTTTCTTTACTTTTCATCTTCAGCTGTTGGAAGCACTGCTTCTGTTTAGCTTTTGATCGCTTATTTTTTCTTAAAAGATTATTTTTTACCAGTCTTTTAGTATCTAAGAATCATGCACATATTTTAAAAAATTGTATCTGTAAAGGTCTGCTTAGATGCTCTTCATGCAGTGATGGCATTGTATGTAAAACTTATTTTTAGCACCAAGTGTTCATTTTGCGGAATATTTATCTTTCAGCACCACATCAGAACAAATGAGAAAGCCAAGGTTACATTTGAATTCAAATTCAAACCAGAACACTTGCGAGTTGGTTCTCGGCTTCTCTTCAGAGATGGAAAGTCCAAAGGAATGGGAGAAGTCACCAAAATAATTCCCTACGATGATGTCTACCGCTGAAGTACGTACAGCTGAATCATTTACCACTGAGCAGTCTACTGCTGACTATTGTTGTGCCTCAATCACTCCTTTACCTGCCAATGTTAAAGATAATTCAACTGAGGAGGGGGGTTCAAAATGTGTTTCTTCCAGGTCCCTTTTTATTGGTTTTTTTTGGGGGGGGGGAGAGGTTTGAGGGATGCTGATTGTGTGTTCTATTTTTGTCATAGTTCTGACTTGCCAGAACCTACAGGTCAAGCAAGAAATAATTATGATTCTGTTGAGTGTCTCTCTAAGGAAAGAAAAAGGCTCAACTTAAACAAGTGAGACTTACTAGTACTAGTGAGTTCATTACTTGATGTTCTGTGGCCAGTGATTAACGGGTTGTGCGCTATAGTTTGCAGAATAAATGTCTCTGATGAAACAGTTTAGATTTTGTAAAATCCTTGTAATAAAAACCTTGTTAAAAATGTTATAAAGTCAGGGCAAAACTATGTACATTGTTAACAGTCGGTCTGCCACTGTCTTATGGAATGATAACTGAAATTTCCAACAAATAGCAAAGATAATATATGGTAGGTCTCAGAATATCACCACACCCGAACAGCACAGAGAGACAGACAGACAGAGGCTGAGTGAGAGACGGGGGTGGGGGGGGGGGGTAGAGACTGAGACACAGATAGGTAAAGGAGGGGATGGGGGTTGATTATAGATATTCAAGAGTAATCGGATACATTTTTTTGCAAACGTGGGACAAAAAGGGATAAAATCACAGTGGAACAAAGTGGGACGAAAGCGTATAGTGAAACGAAGAAGTGGGAGAAAAACTGATGCACCGCTCATAGTCTAGCATCTGAGTTTGTTGCCATTTTTTTGTCCAAATGTTGTCAAAAGTTGCCCCCCAAAAATGGCAAAAGTTGCCATTAATTTTCAGGCTTTCAATTCTCTGTTACGACGTATACAGCAATATGTTGATAGAGTGACTTAATCTAAAGCACCGGAATTTCTTGTGCTCTGTTTTAAGCATCCAGAATATCATTTGGAGTCACATAGAGTGTAAAAACGTGAATAATAAAGGTTTCACAGCAGAATTAAATTAGAATTAAAACAGCACATAAAGTCACAAAAATTAACAAATATGGGGATGTGTCCACGTATCCGATGATTGGCTGTTTTAACCCTAAACGTGTGTAATTCAAGAAAAAGTTCAAGATATTATTGTAAATTATGGAATCACACGAAAGGGGCCTGCCAGTGTCCGTATTCGATTTTGGTGGAGACACGTTCTAATGTAACACATTTATATATAAAAAAAGGTAGGAACAACGTCAAATTAAATGATATTACGTTATATAAACACAAAAAATAGAAAAACAACACATCAGAACAATAACTAGAAAAAAAATTAACACAGCAACAAATTAAAACCCAACAAAGAGGGAAAAATAAGAGAAACAACAATATAAATCGTATGTAATGTACTTATATTCTTCACATGAAAATAACAAATCAATGTGGTGTCAACAAGTGAGAAAGAGACGAAGTGGAGAGGAAGTGAAAATAGACTTTCTTTCTCAAATCAAAGAGGTTCGGGTTTAAAACAAAAAAAATATTTTAAGACCCGTTTTTTTTGTTTCAAGTTTTTAATTCCCCGGCGGTGTTTATTAAAAAAATTTCTTTTCTTTTCTTTTTTTACATGCAATGCAAAAATCGTGGCCTCAGTTCGCAGACGAAAAAATGCCAAAAATCGCGGCTGCGACAAACGCAGATGCTAAATAAATACTCTGTTAAGGAGACATTAGTTTTTCTGTAGACTACGAAACCCTTTGGATATGGACTGTTTTAAATTTTTGACACAATTATCTGTCATTTCATCTCCACAAATGTCACGGAGAGTTGCAAACAAAGGCTTTGAACTGGGAACTAAGTCTTGTTTCTTCAGCTTCTGTTTTATAGACTTCCATGTATTCTGTAGGATTCATATCGGGGCTATTTACTGATATATATATATATATATATGATATGATTTACTTTTCCTATAAATGTCCAATGGCGTTAGCCCTGGGAGAAGGTGCATAAAACTGCATACTTAAATTACACCGTGACGAATATAAAGATACAACACGACGTTCTAGCACTTGTGCGATGTAGTCCACACGAAACCAAAGTCTTGTAAACAAAATACTAATAAGCACATTGAAGTCCAAGTTTTGCATGGTAGGCTATTTCTGACTGCTCTGCTTTCCAAACTGTCTGAAAATATAGTAATAAAATATTGTTTATCGCAGAGAATGTTCTCCATTCATTTGATATACGTCATGTCCATTGTATCAATGTTAACACATTGCACCTAAGGGCCTGGACGGGAAGTCCATTGTTAGATCCAAAGCAAGGGGAAAGAACCCGCCTCCCGTGAATACAAGCATTTAAAAAACACATTTTAAAAATACTAAACAAATTCTAAAAATCCTGAAAAAATAAAAGTTAAAAAGAAAACTGAATTTAGTTTCAGAAAAATATAACTTTATGTTTACGCAAATTGTTGGAAATGTTTTAACTTTAGTTCAATCAGGGTGTCCGACCCGTCACTTTCACTCTCAGCCTCGCGGTCGGGCCCTAGATCTAAATTCTAGATTTTCTACGTCTGATCAATCTGAATCGCCCCAAACTCTTGCTACAACGTTTTTATCAAAACCTGAGCCATCTGATTTGTCACATGCTTGTTTATGCTGAAATCCATCGTTATTTCCGTTTTTGAACTCAATTCTGTCGCTTTTCAACAAGTCGAGACACTTTCGAGGTGTCGGTAACGCAATTGCACTTCGATCAGCTCTAATACTAAAACTACCGGCCCGAACATTTTCGTTTCGTTATCAAACGAAAGAAGAAACTTTTTGCTATGACTATGCAAATCAGAATCTCGGCCCCAGAGTCTCGTTAAGGCGAGACTTCGTTTCTAAAGACGCTGGGTGGGCGCGGGCGGTTCCGGGCGAGTCAGGGTGGAGCGCGTAAGGGAATTCTTGGGTGATCGCTGGCGAGTTAGGGTGTAATGTGTTAATACATTCTCTTTGATTTTACCCAATTTTACCAAGCATAATTTTTTATGGTTAATTTTGAGTGACTACATCTGGGGCCACTCTTATCCTAGATGAAAAATTAATGTGTCAGATGATGCAAAAAATTTATTTAGCTTTAAATTGGTATGCTGCATGAGTGTGTAATGTAAGACTTAAACCTGATGATTGGGTGAATACATTTTCAAGTTTCTTTTGGATAGTATGCACAGTGTCATTGAGTGTCGCCTTAAAAAACATGCACACACCTGGGCTTCTAATAAGGGAAAACACACTACCTGACTGCTTTGAATACAATATGGCAATACAAAAAGTCTTCTAATGTAATCATCTGCATCAGGCAAGATTTGAAAATGTAGATTGCAAATCCCAAACTTTCTTAAAAGAATGACCATCAACGTTAAAAAATTACATTAATGTTGTTCTTAAAAGTAAAAAGTAAGGTACTGGACTAGATTTCTCCATTTGATTTGTCTTGAATACCAAATGATTGAGAAAATCAGTTTCTTCCCTCTCCTGTAAAATTTGCTTCATGTTGAATTCACAATTTCATCAGGTGAACCGACGATTTGTCTCTCTACTCTTTCTCTCTCTTTCTTTTTCTCTCTGTCTTGTTCACTTTCTGTGTTTTGATTGTGTGTATGTGTGTGTGTGTGCAGTTCAAACTAAAATTGTACTTACTGCTGGATCAAAGGCTACTTGTCAAATGTTTGCTGCCTGAAATCTACAAAACAAAAGGGGGTGGGGGGTAAGCAGGGAGGATGCAAACAGGCGACAAGCACTAGCTCGAATAGTAATGTCTAGCAGAAAGGGAAACGATCACTGTGTATCAACCAAGTGGGTGCCGTGCACTTTGTGTAGTGTGCACCTCTGGCGACCAGTTTGCTGGTGTCCTTGCAAGGCAAATTTACATGAATAAAGAGCGCACTTTTCAGACAGTTGACAGATGGAGCTTTAAAAGGGCAAATAGGCATTCCTTTTTGTGTATTGGCAAGAGCTATAGGTATAATGGGGGTGTAAGAAGGTTTGTAGGAAATTGTACATGGCATTGTTGTAATGAGTTTTATGATGGACAGATAAAAGTGCTTAGAAGATGGAGCGAACACATTTTGCAACTTCTACTTTTGCAAACACTTTATAAGGTATGTTCTGTTTATTTAAGAAATAGTGTCTATTGTGTATTGTACTGTGATATTTCGAAAATGAGGACACTTATGCTTTTATTTTTCTTGTGGCAAGGTCATATTGCCAGAATGAACGTCTTTCAAATTATTTAATAAAGATGTATTATGAATGTGCTTTGATGAAACATGATGGATCTCAGATATTTGTAAATGTGTTACCCGAGTGACATCGGCACTTGAGCCCACATATCAGCCATTCAGAGAAAACAATCACACAGAGATCAATCGTATGGTGGTATCAGTCTTACATGGTTTCAGTTAGTAAGTTTCTGTTAAACAGAGGTATCGGTTACTATTGGCACAATGATATAGTTGGCTCTAGTCATAATTTTAATGGATTGCATGTTGAAGCGTGTGGCAGCATGGGGCCTGGGTCCGATGGGAATGGGAGCCATGTCCTTTTTCCCCAGAGCTTATGTCACATGATGTATTTTCTTTAATAAAACAATTTAGGCCTACTTAAAGAAATTAGTCAAGGAAGTTCAGGAGCTGATGTACCATACATAGGCTTTATTTGGTGCATTATGCATTTCTTTTTTAAGAGCATTGTCATCTTTAACACTCCCATAAAATATGTGCTTTAAAATATGAAGAGCCATTATATTTATTTTCAACACTTATAGGCTACTTTGGTATTGTTGGGATTTCTGTGTGATTATTTGTTCTGCCTGGTTGTCCTTTGACTTTGATGTTTCGGGTTGTTTTTTTCTCGGGGATGATGACAGAGCTGTGCTTATTTTACATGGAAGATCTTTTAAATTGTGGAACTTTCGTTTTGCATGATTGTCTGAAGCAATACATGCAAGTGTAGTTAGCTTATTTCTCCTCTTTTTTGTTGCAACTGAAGCTTACTTTGTCAAGATTTTTTTTAGTAATTATTGCAAAAAGCTAGAACAGTTTTTATATATTGATTATACTGATCTTGATAGAAGTTTGTGTTTTGGCAGCTAATTATACACTTTTTGGTGCATTCCTTTTTTCTTTCAGTCGACAAACAATAGCTTATTGCATGGGTTAGGTTGTCAATATTTTGATCTAGAAAAGTATATATTGCTCTATGTCTATTATAGTGTCAAATTTTTATGTACACTATTGTCCATACCATTGAAACTATGCTCATGTCTCATTTGAATGGTGCATAAAACTCAGTTCTGTTCTCCCCTTCTCCATGCAGTATATTTCTAACTTATTGTAGGTAGCGTAAACACGGCCTCGTGGGCACTCGCGGCCTTCCAACCGCGTGGTATTGGTGAAATCGGGGTAATTCCAATCGCTGTTTCTTTGCTCTTTCGCTATAAAACTCCAAAT